ATCTCGACCAATTCCTACTTGCTTCAATCGCCGATCGTCCTCTGCTCGCGAGTCGCCTCTTTCTCTGTGCTACTACTCGCTGCTCTCCAGAAGAAGTTTTGTCCCCGCCAAAGATTCCTCTCCCCCAAGTAAATTCTGCTCGGTCCAAATAATTGCTCCCCCCTCTATTCCGTGTGTCCTTGTGAGAAACATAATTATTGGGGTCTATTTGTTATTTGCGTATTATTCGGATGTTATGTTAGGATGGGAATTATGAGGGTTTATTCGGTTAGGTTAATTATTCGGGTAGTAAACAGGAAATAGTCGGTTTATATATAAGTCATGTTATGTCCGGTACCAGTTCGGCAGAGCGGAGGGATGGGCACTAGAGCAGCTAGCCAAGCTGAAGCAGACAGGGTCCGTGGTCGAGTATCGGGCCGAGTTCCTGAAACTGGGGAATCAGTGCAAGGAAGTGACGGAGGAGACACTGGTGGGGCTGTGCATAGCCAAGATGCGACCAGAGCTGGCCACAGCAGTCAAAGTCTTTGAACCTGACTCCCTTCGTGTGGCTTTTAGACTTGCAGGTAGGAAGGAGGAGGAGTTAGCCAGTTGGAGATCGTTAGTGGGCTGGATGCAGAAGGCCAGTGGGGCGCGAACAGCGGCGCAGGTGCAGGAACGGTGACCCCGTCGGCTGCGACGTCAAGCCCACCAGTAGCAGGGGCTGTAGCTGGTAACCGATTCCCGGTCAGGGCACCGCCGCGCGGGTTCGTGAGGATGACTCGGGCCGAGATAGATCAGAAGCCCAGGGATGGGCGTTGTTTCAATTGTGATGAGACGTATACCATGGGACATCAGTGCGCCAAGGGGCACTTAATGCTGGTGGTCGAGAATTGGGAAGATGAAGGAGAGGAACTTGAGCTAGGAGCGGATGGAGGAGAAATGAAGGAGGACAACAAGAAAGATGGCCCACCTTGAGGGCAAGGTGGGTTTGAAGGGGGATGAATTGTGAGAAACATAATTATTGGGGTCTATTTGTTATTTGCGTATTATTCGGATGTTATGTTAGGATGAGAATTATGAGGGTTTATTCGGTTAGGTTAATTATTCGGGTAGTAAACAGGAAATAGTCGGTTTATTTATAAGTCATGTTATGTTAGGTCAAGAAAAAGCAATAATACAAAATTGTTCCCAAACTCTCTCTCTTCCTCTCACCTTGGCCGAACCCTCTACCTCACCTCAACATCGGCGGCTTCCCTCCCCGGGAACCTGACTCTGCCTTCTCTCTCATCCAATTCTCAATTCTTTCTCACCTAAATCCCCAATCCCTAATTCGTTCAATCCCTAAATCGCAGTCCTCAGCCCAAAAACCCACCAAAGCTTTCCCATAAGCCCAATTAATTAAGCTTTGTTATCAAAGAATCCATAATACACATCCAGTCCACCTTAATTATCTCATTCAGCAATGTAAATTTCTCATTTCATTTACCTAAAATATATAATATATTTGCACTCGGTGGTAATGATTATATAACCATTCCAGGCTAGGTTGGACCAAAAAACAGACATTATATGTCTCAACATATCACAAAATAAGCTCATTAAGCACTTATAATCAATATGTTTCGACAATTATCACTTTATTAACATTTGTGAAATCAACGATTAATAGTGTACAATAGTATTATTAGCGTTTTAAGGAAATTAGTAACATACAAGAACGCAACGATGTTTGTTTAAGTAATTATTAATGATATTATACAATGGTATTATTAATGTTTTGATTTTTTTTGTTTACCTGTGTGAAAGAACGTTATTAACTGCGGAAGCACAAGAGACAAGCAACCGTGAGAATAGTAGAAGAGCGGTGTGAGTCGTAAGGACTAAATTTTACGAAGTTTCTTAACTTATTCTGGTCCCTTAGATTAATGTAGATGGTTGAGTGGTGACGGGTAACTAGGTAATTATGCTAGATGACAGGAGGGATTTCTAATTCTTTGTGTAGGAAAGCCACTCAAGCTTCTTACCTTGTATTGTTAGTTTACAGAATATTTATACACACACAATGACATAAGCAAGCAAATACATTAATTACATAATCTGATAATATCTTGAGAACCAAATCTTTAGCTTGATTTTGGTTGATGTGGGAGTGATTGGAGGAACAGTGATTTGTGTGGTCCATGCACAAATTAATTCTGCTAACACCCCTCTCAAACTCTAGGTGGGGACGAAGACACCAACTGGAGTTTACCAATTAATCATGAGGAATCTGAGCGTGAAAAATCGTAATGATGAAGATGCCATGATAAAGAACGTAGAACTGATTGTAAACTGATCACCTCCTCAGTGATAGCGCATACATAGTATGCATATTGGAGTTTCTAGATCATCACCTCCTTGATGATAAGCTGTAAATCTAATCACTTCCCCGGTGATAAAGGGCATACTTAGGTATCGGTTGCTTGTGGGATTTGGGTGATGGATTTTGTACCCAAATCCCAAGCATAATGAAATTGGCATAAGTCCATTGTTTGCTAAGGGACACAAATCCGTGGGGACCAAATCCATCATAAATCCAAAGGTTTTGAAAACTCAAAACCCTCATTTTCAAATCCAACAAGCAAACGAGCCCTTAGTATGCGGATTTGGGTAGGTGTTAGAGTTAGTCAATAGAGTTGTAATACCACATTGATGGGAGAAGTAAAGTATAAAGATGGAGTCTTTTGGCAGTTTAATTAATTAATTAATTAATTTTATATCAATTCATTAACGTTTGAATATTGTGAAAAGAAGTGTCCTTCCAGAAAGGTAACTTCCCTTTTTTTGTGAAAGGATGTGTCCTTCCAGAAAGATAACTCCCTTTTTTCTATGAAAAGATGTGTCCTTTCGGGAAAGGTAACTACCTTTTTCTGTGAAAGAATGTGTCTCTTCGAAAGATAACTTCTAGTTTTCACAAGTATAAATAGAAGACTGCCATGACTCTTTTTATGATGAATGACGAGAGATTATTTCTTCTTCCTGTTTTCCTTCTCTATTTCATAACCACAGAAGTCTGCAAGATTGCTGCTTCCAAACTTAGAATTGAAGGAACTGCTGGGGGTGGTTTGCTCGAGCATACCAGCAATTTGTAGTGGGGAAAATAACACTCTGTGGGTTATGCATAACCCTTTCTACTGGAACTCCTAGGGTTATACGTGACTTCACGGCACAATTACTATGCACTACCTACAACTTAACAAATGGACACCCTACTACACACGTGTCTCGCAACACTCCCCCTCAAGCGATGGAGTAAACATTGTGAAGTCCGAGCTTGTCACTGAGAACGGTGAACTGCTCTGCTCCTAAACCTTTTGTGAAAACATCTGCAGGTTGTTCATTCGTATGAATCTTCTGCGGTGCAATCTCCCCTGAGAGAACTCTCTCACGAACGAAATAGCAGTCCATCTCCACATGCTTTGTTCTTTCGTGGAAGACGGGATTGGCTGCTATATGGAGGGCTGCCTGATTGTCACAAAGTAGTGGGGTCGATGAACTGGACGGTACCCCCAGCTCTCGAAGGAGCCACCTCAACCAAATCACCTCACTAACTGTCATTGCCATTGCCCGGTACTCGGCTTCGGCAGATGAACGAGCCACAACTTGTTGCTTCTTGGTTCGCCAAGAGATTGGACTATCTCCCAAACGGATGAAGTAACCCGTAGTTGAACGACGTGTCTGAAGGCACCCACCCCAATCGGCATCGCAGTAGGCATGGAGATTGGGGTTCTTCTCAGAACGAAACAGGAGGCCCTTACCTGGGGCGCCTTTGAGGTACCGTAAGACTCTGTGCGCTGCCATCTCGTGATCAACGCGAGGGGAATGAACTGCCTGGCTGAGTATGTTGACAGCATACACTATGTCAGGTATGGTAACTGTGAGATACATTAACCGGCCCACAAGGCAACGATAACTAGCAGGATCCTTGGCTGCAGGTCCTTCGAGCGACGTGAGATGATGATTTTGCTCAATGGGAAAGGCACAAGGACGAACTGCTTCTGCCCCAGCATCCTTGAGAATGTCCAAAGCATACTTACGTTGTGACAAGACAATACCAGCTCGAGAACGAGCTACTTCTATACCCAGAAAGTACTTCAGGGTTCCCAAATCCTTGATACTGAACTCTTTATGCAAATGATCCTTGACCTGTTGAATGATGCCAAGATCACTTCCACCAAGGACGACATCGTCTACGTAAATGAGGGCGAATGTGTAGGAGTCGCCCTTCCTATACGTGAACAGAGAATGATCTGCACGTGACTGAGTGAAACCAAAACGCTGAAGTGACTGAGTAAAATTCTGGTACCAGTTGCGTGATGCTTGCTTCAACCCGTAAAGAGATTTACGAAGACGACACACCCGGTGGTCCCCCGGTCAAGTAAATCCCTGCGGAACAGCCATGTAAACCTCCTCGTCAAGGTTCCCATGCAGGAACGCATTGTTGACGTCGAGCTGGTGAAGGAACCAGCCTTTCTGAGCAGCCACGGCTAAAACGCACCGAACTGTAACAAGTTTGGCGATCGGGGCAAAGGTGTCATGGTAGTCGATACCTTCGACTTGGGTAAAGCCCTTTGCCACAAGACGCGCTTTGTAGCGCTCAACGGTCCCATCAGGACGAAACTTGATCTTGTATACCCATTTCGGAGCTATCAGGCGTTTACCAGGTGGCAAGAAGCAAAAATCCCACGTACCATTGGCCTGGAGTGCTTCGATTTCGCGCTGCATGGCTTCGCGCCAATGCGCATGGCGAACAGCTTCATAAAAACTACGTGGTTCAGTCAAAGCTGAAACCGCTGCAACAAAAGCAACATGATTAGAAGACAAACGGGAGTAATCAACAACATCAGATATAGGGTATTTGACTGCAGTAGCTGATCGTGAGGTGGGAAGCATGACCTCATAATCATCACGCAGCCAAACTGGAAGCTTGGACTGGCGAAGGCTGCGACGTGGCTGCTCGGGAGAGGCGCGACCAGCTGGAGATGAAGGAAGAGGATCATCGGCTGTCCCACCTTCATGGTCGTGCTCCTCAACGGGGCTGGACCCAGCTTCGCCGCGCGTGCCTGCCGGCTGTGATACAGCTGGGGACGAAAGCTGCGGAACCTCCTCGGCAGCAGGTATGGGAGCAGCGGGAGATTGTGCAACAGTCTCGGGTGGAGCTGCACAAGGAAACTGCTCTTCGTCAAAGACGACATCACGAGAGGTAAAACAACGATGGCTCTCGAGATCTTACAGCCGATATTCCTTTTGACCAAGAGGATAACCAATAAAGAGGCACCGTCTCCCCCTTGCTTCGAACTTATCAAGGTGGTGACTAGTGTTCTTTGCGTGGGCAAGGCATCCAAACGTGCGGAGATGAGTGTAACCAGGGACACGATCGAACAGGCGTTCAAAAGGAGTTTTGCCGCCAAGAACACGAGAGGGCAGGCGATTGATTAAATACGCGGCCGTCAAAACACACTCGCCCCAAAACTTGATGGGCAAGCTAGCATGAAATCGCAAAGCACGGGCCGTCTCAAGGAGATGGCGGTGCTTGCGCTCGACCACCCCATTTTGCTGGGGTGTGTCAACACAAGAGGTTTGCAACATGATCCCCTCTTGTTCGTAGTAGTCCTTAAGCTGGGTGGATTGGAATTCTAAACCATTGTCTGCCTGAATCTTCTTGACAGAGTGACCATGTTGACGAACAGCCTGCTGACAGAACATGATTAAATATCGAGCAACCTCAGACTTCGACCGTAACAAATATACCCAAACTCCACGGCTGTAATCATCAACAAGAGTGAGAAAATAGTGAGCCCCACTCAAAGATGGTACTCGATACCCACCCCAGATATCAGCATGAACCAGTTCAAAAGGACGAGCACTCTTTATTGAACTCAAAGAAAAAGAATTCCGAGATTGTTTGGCTCGTAAACAAGAGGAACAATGATCCGTAGACAACGAAGAACTAGTTTGAGGTAACTTTAACAAAGAAATTTGATTCTCGGACGGGTGACCTAGACGAGAGTGCCACAACTCTTGAGGAACGGACTGCTGCCCCTGCGTAGCATTCACCATAGCATCTTTAACTTCATCAAACAAACGCAAGTGGTAGAGCCCGTCTCGTTGCTTACCCATCCCAATCATCTTCTTGCAATGTAAGTCCTGTATCACACAGAAATCGTGCAGGAAGATCAGAGCAATCGGGAAATCCTGAGTAAGACGGCTAACAGACAACAGATTGCACTTGAACTCGGGAACCAATAGAACACGAGGTAACACCATTCCATTATTTAACTGTACTGCGCCAACACTCCCAACCTCAACCGTGTCACCATTAGGTATACTGACTTGTAATCCCGACTGAACCGTTCCCTTCATGAGGATGGATTGATCCTTTACGATGTGTTCATTACACCCGGAGTCAATGATCCATTCATCAAGATTAGAAAAGGTACCTTGCATATTGGCGGCAGTCGACTCGAATGACCCACCATCATGCTTCAGAAAACTACGAAGTTGTTCCAGTTGAGAGAGAGACAAGCCGGCGACGGGACTTTCACTAGCTTCAACATTGGCTGCTCGTGGATTGGGACGAGGACGATCGCTAGGCTTGCGTTTGCCGCTAGCCTCTGTTCCCTTCTCGGGCCAGCCGATCAAGTCATAACAACGCTCCTTGAGGTGGCCGGTCTTCCCACAGTGAGTGCATTTAGAACGCTCTCTCCCCTCCGACTGGTTTCGCTCTCTTCCCTCGGGACGTGGATGAGTAGCCTCACAAGTGAAGAAAGCTGCAGCTTCGGGGGACGCACGATGTGTAGAAGCAATCCGGCGCTGGTGGGCGTCGTTCACCACGAGCTGATACGCCTCGGACAGACTCGGCATGGTTTTCATGGACAAAACTTGGGTCTTGACGGTAGTGAACGATTCATCAAGGCCCATAAGAAAGTCGAATAGGCGGAAATTCTCTTCACGTGCCTGATTCTTCTTGTCTTGGCCACAGGTGCATAACCCACAAGTGCAGGTGTGGACGGGTGCCATACTGTGCACCTCCTCCCAATAAGCACGAAGTTGTGTATAAAAAGCTTGGACAGAGAGCTTCTCCTGCGGAAGGCGGCTGATCATCCGCCGGACTTCGTAGACGCGCGGGGCGCTGCTTTGGGCAAACCTTTCACGGAGATCCTCCCAGACTTCGCGGGACGTCTTGGCATGACGCATCCCGCGTCGAACCTGTTTGTCGATGGCGCATGTCAGCCACCCTTTGACCATAGCATCGACGCGCCTCCATTGCGGTACTTTCATCGAATCCTGAGGCTCGAGAATGGTCCCGTCGACAAACCCCAATTTGTTTTTGGCCAAAAGTGAGTTCGTCATATCGTGGACCCAATCAGAGTAGTTGGATTCGGTTAGGAGTTCCCCAACGTAGACTTGGTTAGGGTTATCCGACGGACTGAGGAACAACGGAGAGGACGGATCCATCTCAAACAATCCACCACTGTTGCTGGACGTGCTGATCGACTTGTCTTTATCGTCGCCGCCAGCCATACTTGAAGGAACCTGTGATCGTCTTCACAGCTCTGATACCATGATAAAAACGTAATGCGGAAAAGAACAAGACAGCGATTTACGTGGAATCCCCGTTCAGGTTGAACGAGACTAATCCACGGAGAACCCTCTCAAGGAGTTCTCGATACTTTTATTAGGTTTTCTTTACTGCTGTAACACATACACCGCAGCACCTCAACTACACAATATATATATGCATAACCCTTTCTACTGGAACTCCTAGGGTTATACGTGACTTCACGGCACAATTACCATGCACTACCTACAACTTAACAAATGGACACCCTACTACACACGTGTCACGCAACACAATCCGATTCTTTCCTATCAGTTCCAGACAATCTTAGAGTGTTATTTGTTTGTTGTTGTAAAATGGATTCTGGAGTAAAAATATTTTGAAGGCATGGCATGGCAAGAGTAAAAGAAGTATTCTGACATTCATTACAAACCGGATTTGAGAAAGGATTGGCAACCGGGTAATACAATCTCCTTTATTGGTTTATTCACTTTTTGATTTGGTTACCGAAGAAGAAAAGAACCAAGCATTCGACATTCATTTCTTGGTAACACCCTGTGTCTCTGCCTCTTTTTCTTTTTTGGTGTTTCAGGGTGGGATCACTCCATGAAGTCAGATTGTCAGTTGTCATGCATTTACCATGAAGTTGCCGTGCAATAAATCATTTTTATTTTGAATTTTGGTTCACTGTGAATGTTAATGGTTTATTCGCCGGGATGATGCATTCGTTGGCTCGAAATGCCAACGAGAGACGGTAATGGCAGTTGAGTATGAAGCTTGTTTCATAATGCAGTGCATTGTCCTTATATTAATGCAAATAGAGAAACTGGGAACATGGAAAATGAATCAAAGGGGGAAGACTGTACCAAACTCAAATTGGGTGACTAAAGCTGCAACTCTCTACGTGAAGTTGGGATTTTCTATTCTATGAATATGGGAACTGGACCATAAATTTGAGGACTAGGGATGCACTCTGACTGGGGAAGGCCTTCTCCCTTCAATCCGAGGCCAGGGCTACAACGCACTGATTGGTAAGGCCACCACGCCAACCAGGGAGTAGACACAGGAGAGGACCATGCAATCGATTTGTGCTAACTCCGCCGATTTCAACTGCGGCAGACAAAACCACAATATCTCCGACGGGGAAAAAAGGATGGGTCAGAATGTTGACGTGGATGGCTGGGAAACCGCAGCGCACTGAGAAAGCACTGGACGGTTGTGAACGAAGGAGACAACTATTATAGTTAATTCCCTCCTTAGAATTACTCCAGATGCAATATCGCTAGCAATGATTACCCCTGTTCCCAGAAAGTTTTTGCTATTGCCTTCTGATTCGAAATGAAAATTTTTCGATTAGGATTTATTAGGGCCTCGGATTCAATTTACCTTCGCGAAGAAACGAACTAACCGCCACCATCACAGATCGCCCCTTCCTCCTCCGTCGTTGCTGCGAATACCAGCGTTGGTAATTACTTCCTCAATTCGCTCTTCATCGTAGGAGGACATATCTGGCGCGTATTGCACTGCGCTACTGTGGTTTAGGTGCCTTCCGTCGTTATTATTGTCTCCGTTCTTGGAACCCAAGGCTAACTTGCACGAAACTACACCACAAATTAATCACAACTAGAGTTCAAATTTTTAAACTCTAGTCGGGCGCACTATAAAACAAGTATTTAAATATCGACTCGAGCTGGTTCATGTATCCCTACTTCAATCGCTTAAATAGTTATCTAGTAAAACTGTTTTGGGAATAGAACTAAGAAATCTACAAACTAAACTAGCAAGGAAAAGTAAATAAAGGAAAATTCTAACTAACGGAGCTTCACCCAAGAGTTGCTTCCCCCTAACTAGCTACCATGACTCATTGGATTGAATAAAGTCATGCGGCGTATGTGGTTGTGAAATGCAGGGGTGAGCAACCAGTGATCGATTTGTCAGGGAATCAAATCACTAGTGATCGATTTGTCACGGGATCGATCCACTCACCAAGTTTAGGGGAACCACTAGGAGGAGTAGCTAGTGATCCATTTGTCATGGGATGGATTTACTAGAGATCGATTTGTCATGGGATCGATCCTCTCACTCAGTCTCTACTGGTTGCTTAGGTCTCTCCCTCAAACCGGAGTTTGAGCGGCTTAATCACAACCAACCTAGATGCAAACTTGAGTCAAGGGTCTCTAACCTAAAATTGAGGCTTGCCCTAAATTAACCTAGTTAGGAGACTTAAAAAGCCCTAGGGATGCCACTCGATTGAGACTCCCTTGGAAGGGGGGTTTCCCTTTCTAATCTAGGTTAAGTGGTTAATTAGATCATTAAGCATAAACATGCACAATCCTTAGGTTGCTAAGCACAAGCATGCACAATCCTTAGATTGCTAAGCAACAATCATGCACAACCCTTATATGCTAAGCACAAACATGCACAATCAACATGAATAATAACTCAATCTTTGAATTAAACAACACCCATAAACAATCATTCAATCTAAATAAGTAATTACAAAGTATTAGTTAGGGATCTACAACACCTAAGAGAAAAGAGTGAGTTTCTAAAGAGAGAGAGGGATTACAAATTTGAGCTCAAGATCTTCTTCTTCTTCTAGGCTTGAATCTCCACCCAAGCCTCCAATGATGCTCCAAGATCACT